GAAATAATTATAAACACTTACAAATAAGTCCAACATGACTTTATCATGACCTTAATGATCCTTATTGTTTCTTTAAAAATTTGTTTTTGCGGAAATGCGTAAATAAGCTAGCATAACTCCAAATTGCAAAAAGAAAAATATCAGTAAAGTAACACAATAAAATGCATCTGGATCAACACGAATACCGTGTAGGCCTTCTCTACTTCTTATGACTGCTTTATGCGTCGAGGCATGCTTGAAATTAAATGTTGAACTAAAGCTTGCGAAATATTCTCCCATTCTTCAATAACGGCCTCAATGAGTTGGTTGTGATTGGCGATGAGGGGTCTACGACTTCGAATCTTTTTTTTTTTGATATAGTCCCATATATGTTCTATAGGATTCATGTCCGGACTGTTAGGTGGTCACTCTAATAATGGAATATCAACATCATTTAGGTAGCCAATAACCTGTCGAGCCACATGAGGATGAGCGTTGTCTTGCATGAATAAAAAATTAGGTCCAAGAAACGGAGCAAAAGGCATTACATGTTCGACAGTTGTCTAAGTAATAATGGGCATTCGTAGACCTCGTACGTATGGGGACCAACTCCGTACGAGCTTCAAAACAAATTCCCCCCAAAACATTTTAGAGCCATCACCAAAAGGTACTTTAGGAAAGATATTGCAGCTGGCAAACCTTTCTCCTCGCCTTCGCCAGACACGCTCACGGCCATCTGGAGCTTTTAGGCTTACTCTAGTCTCGTCGGAGAAAAGAACTCGTTTCCAATCATCGATGGTCCAATTTTGATGCAATCTTGCAAAATTCAATCTCTGAACCCTGTGTTCTCTGGTAAGCAAGGGTTTTTTGGCCGGTTTCCTGTTGCTCAATTCTGCTTCATGTAAACGTCTTCTATCTGTTCGAGACGATATCGCTACAGAACATCTGCTAGTTCATTTTTTAGCTCATTGCTGGTGACTCTCCTGTCTCTGAGAGCACGTTGTTTCAAAAAACGATCATCAATTTGATTAGTGCAACGTTTTCGCCCTTGTCCTGGTCTTCGATGGTACGATCCTGTTTCATTATATAGCCTCTTTTTAATTAAATACCCTTTTTTAATTAAATTTTTAAGCAAATGAACTACAAAGCCTGTGATGATGCATGTGATGAAAAATATCGCAATAAAAAGCTTATTTCTAATAAAGCACTTTGTTTTAATCGGCACTTTTTATGAAAAGTTTAACTCACTTTTAGTCTAAAACTAAGTTTAATACAAATTATTGTTAAAACAAGAATATTATTAGCTTACATAACAACTGTCACTGTCAAACAAGGTCCATATGCCACTTGTCATACAGTAAATTATCACTAATAAACATTATTGAGAAAAATATGAGTGGTGCGGTAATTTTATCCAGGAGTTACATTTTTTCAAGCATCTATCAATGGTGAATAAATCTTCTTCTTTTTTGTTACTAAACAAAATTTTATTTTTGACAATACAATTGTAAAAATAAAAATTTTTAAGTTGGTATTTATGACATTCAGGCGTATTTGTAACTATTCAATTTTATTTACAAATTCAATTGTTTTTGTAAGAAACTTTTTCAAAATTTATTAAAAATTTCAGAGAAACATTTTTTAGAATAGGACATTTTTGTATTAATATTTTTTGTAATATTATGTTAGCAGCAGTTTTATATACAAAACTAATTTTATTTGGTGAGTTAAAAAAAATTTATTTCTAGTTCAACTTTGTAAGATATTTTGTATTTTTTAGCAGCTCTTGATAATAATTGTAAACACAATTGAAAAGCTCGAGTAAAAAAATAGTCAACAAATAGCCCCTTTTATTGACTCCAACCCAACCAAAACAATTATTATATATATATATTGTTTGGATATTATTTATGAATTTTTATATATATATATATTTATTCTCGAGGATAGGAGAATTTTATTTCGAGAGAGAAAGTGAGAGATAATATATCTGTCTCTCTTATCATTATCTTAATATTTAATGGTTTTACAGATTCACTCGTAATATCCAACGTCGATGCGTATAGAATATATTCAAAAACAACTTCTGATGAAAACTTCATTTCGGCTTGATAAAAAAATTTTTCTTCCAGATTGTCAGAATAGTACAAGAACTCGAATTTAATTCTTCCATATGCTTCCTTATCTCTTGTTCTTATCAACTTTGACATCTTTTCTGTCAATTTTAAAAGGTTTTTATTTCTTGCATATGATTCCTTTATCTTTGTTCTATAATCAATTTTGACATCTTTTTTATAAATAGATATGTTTATGCCATCTATATAGGTAACTAAAGATACACTGAAGTAAGTTTGGTTGTGGGAACTTTTGTGAATAAGAGACATCTGAAATAATACTTACGGATTAAAATAGTGTTATTTATTAGTTTAAGATGTATAATTTATATATAAGTTTACATTCTGATCTGAAAAGCCTAAATTTCCATAAAATTCTCAATAGAAAAGTAAAGAATTATCTAGAAGTTTAAAATAAGACTTTAACCTCTTTTCGTAGGAGAATACTCGCGAACCTTGAAATATCTATGAAATAGAAGAAATTCGAACCTATTTTCTTTCGAGAATATTCGTGACTGAAGTATCTATGAAATAGAATATTTTCGAACCCATTTTCTTTCGAGAATATTCGTGAACATTGAAATATCTATAAATACGTTGTGATTTGGGGCATAAGAGGATAGTGTATTCGGGTATTCAGATTGAAAGAGTATTAAGTAAAAAGTATTCAGTATAAAAAAAATAGTAGTATTGTGGTATTGGAGAGTATTGTCACAGTAATGTCGTATGGAAGACTATTGTAGTAAAAGGTCAAGATTAAAAATTATAGTATTTATATGGAGATTAAAAAAACTTAAAAATTATATTATTTATATGGAGATTGGAAGAGAAAAAAGTTTATTAGAAAGAAGAATAAACAAGAAAGCAATAAAGAAGGAAGAATGTTTTAGCTATTTATAAATGTTATTAAGAAGAAAAATATTTTGAAATGGTGAAGTTGATAATTGAAACATTGTGGTCTATTTGGCAAAGCGATTTCATAAAAAGAAGGATAACCAGGCTGATAACGGAGACAGTGAGTGGTGATTAAAACCTTTATTTTGGAAAACAATTTAATTTAGGCATTCAGTGACAGACAGGTACCAAATTTTGTTAGTATAATTTAATTGTTGTAATAAGAATTTCATTTTAAAGATAGGTTGTTTTACATTTATATTTAAATATTGTCGAAATTAGATATATATATATATATATTATATATATATATATATATATATATATATATATGTGTGTGTGTGTGTGTGTGTGTGTGTGTGTGTGTGTGTGTATGTGTGTGTGTGTTTCATAATAAAGATAATTTCAAAAGTGCTTACAAACTAATTCTTTGAGAACCGCGACAAAAACCCTATATATGTTATTCAAAAATACTCATTGCTCATAAAACAATACACAAACAAAATATCATAGCAATATATAATGTTATACATGTAATGTTACAATTTTAAAATCTACCAGATCATTAGAGAAACTTTTATTTAACTTTATATCAGTTTATTTATATACAATTTAACTTTACAGTCAGTCAATAAATTTTTAAAATATTAAACTTTTTGCGGATAATCCAAGTAAATATAAAGTATGATCAGTTAAAATTTGAAAGGGATCGTAGCAAAATTGATGGAGATATAGGCATTTAGGAATAAAGTAAGTGGATGAGTAAGGTGAGAGTATGGTAAGTGAGTGTAGTGAGTGAGTGTGTGAGTAAGGTGAGTGAGCACTCACATATAAATTGGAATAAGTGTAGGGTCAAGTTCTCATAATTATGCACGTGCAGCAGGTAACAATGGAATTATTAAATAAGGAATGGAATCTTGGATAATAAAAAAGGCAGAGTTCGTCGAAGGCAGGTGCAACAAGATCATCTAGATAGTTTATCAGGAAGCACTTCGCTGTTATGGGTCTGAAATAGATAATACTGTATGGGTATGAAAAAAATTATGTTTCGTTTTAAACGTGTTTTTCTCGGAATAATTTTTTTCAAGTCGGTGTTCACTGTACCTCATAAATTACTTGATTGATCCTTCTCAAATTTTAAAATAAAAATAAATAGGTCGCAATGTCATAACAATGTCCATTTTGTTGTTATAATTAATTTTACATTAAATTAGTCAAATTTTACTAAAGATTGTCGAAAATTCAATTTTACTTCTAAAATTTTAAAAAACAAAATGAATAATATCTCGATGTTGCGACCTAGGGAAACTCATAAAATAGCGAAATCTTTTTTGGTTTTTTGTCAACAGATGATCCAGTTATTAGTTACGATGAACACCACACAAAGACTTTTTTCATCTTGAAAAATTCGCTATTATTTGCTCAGTTTTAATATTTTTGTACCAAAATTTCAGATAATACTCTTGAAATGTACTATAATGTAATAATGTTATAAATAAAATTATATTAAACAATTTTTCAAAAAGTACGTTAAAAATACTGAAAATAAAAGTCTAGAAAAGAATAAATTCTCTCTCCTGTTGCCGACAAGAATGTAGCGTAGAATAATTTTTAAATAATTTTAAACTGTTTGTCCTTGTTTTAGTGTAGTGTTATGTACAATTTATGTTTAAATTCATATTTATTACATTCTGCGCTTGCTGGATAGCCCAAATTTGACAAAATGCCCCTGATGATGCTGTAGAAAAACGAAAGTACTTGGGCAAGATTTGATTATTAAAATTCTGCTCGATATAACTGCCTTTAATTTTTCAAAGTTTAATATGTAACCCCCTAACGATTTCGTTGGTGCAGGCTATCAGTGCAAATAGTTTAGCCTAGAACATTGTAGAGCATTATCCAAAATATAGGAATATATTTTTAATCTTTATCTCTATAGGTTAATGGAATATATAAAATTTAATCTTTAATTCGTTTATTTAAATCCACCAATGAAAATTAATTTTGTTTTAGAAACACCTTAAAGATTACCCATCCTTCACAATTAAAATTTACAACGGAAGGAGATCTGATAGAAATAGGTATGTCCAAACCGGAGATGCGCAGACTTAGAAAATATTATGAAAAGCACTTTCCTCATAACTATCTTTCAAAATTTAAGAAATTGTTAACCCATAGGAAACAAGAAAATGCCGTTAATGACGCTTCTCTCTTGGGTAGTACTGATTCTTTAACTCTTTCTAAAGCACCTAGGGTTTCTAGCAAACATATTATACCTTCTTCAAGTATCACAATTAATAAGGAACTGGGGATGGGAGAATTCGGAGTTGTTCAACAGGGAGTTTGGTGCAATGAAGGTGAACGAATACAGGTAAGACATAAAATTAAAACAATTCTTGTATACATCTAGCATGTCTTTAGGAATTTTCTGTTCTAAGTGAAAAACTAACCTACGAGAACCGGTTTGAACTAGGCTAAATTTAGAACAATATGTGTTGTTATTTTCTATTTTCTGTGTTGCATCTTCTCGTTACGGACAAATGACCTCCTATTGTTATTCTGTTATTTATTCATACTTAACCATTAATTTACATGCAAACATTGTTGTATGAAGTTCACAGCTTTTCTAATTGTCAGAATATAATCTGTTAAACCCCCGGCTCAAAAATTGTACACCAAACAAGAACTTCTGAAGATAGGTGGTGTACACGTCAAGAAAGATAAAATATATTCCTCGTTCAGTACCATATTCTTCATAGACATGGGTAAACATTCTGGCTTTTATCAGAGTTTGTTTACAGTGCCTATCCCCTGTTTTTTTAATTTACCTTGCAGTATAACATGAATCATTTGATACTGATTATTTCCCTTCACCTAATTAAAATAAACTAGTTTTGTACGGTTAACTATGTACATCAGTTTTTGATCTATTCTTCTATATTTGATCTATTTACATTTGCGTAGTAAAATTCGATGCGTCTATGCTATTATTTTTTTTTGTTTGTTATTTATGTAGATTGTTATTATTATTACTTTTATTTTTGTAAGCTTTGTCCATAAAATTGTACAATTTTCAGTGACAATAAAGCATATTTCTATGAGATCTGCATCGTTCTCAGATAACACGGCAATAAGAATTCTATTGATTTTCGTATTGTGTTTTTTTTGTCAGATGGATATACACCAATCTAACATCATAAACGTACGCACCAGAAAGAAAGCAAATTCGAATTCTGACCACTACATAGTTGAAAGTAGGGTAATGGCCAGAATTTTAAATATCAAAAACATAAAAGGATAAAAAATAAAGTATATAAAAGGAATTTAACAACAGATTAGAAAATAGCAAGGAAATACAAATTAGGGAATAAAAAAAAACAAAATCATAAATGAGGAATGAAAAACCTCTAAAAACGTCATAACAGAAGCGGTTGAAGAAGTATTAGGCATAGAGGAAAAATAAAGAAGTACTATAACAAGTGACTGGTTGGACAAATATTGTCAGGTAATAACTGAAGAGAAAAAGAGACATATGTGCAAATGCAGCAGAGACCCGGACCCACGCGAACAGAAGTGGAATATAAACAACTATGAAAACAAGAAAAGAAATTCCACCCGAAAAGAAGAGAGAAAATATGAACAGAGAAAAAAAAGGAAAAGACAGTTATTCCGATTTTATTCCGACTACTCTCAACGAGTACAAGAAACCAATTCGCTAAGGATTTTTGCTTAGTTGAGGAGATATGACGTGGAATGCAAATTTTAGTTTCCCCATGTCTCTAATAACGTCTTTATCAACGTCTGTTTTGCCTTGCAATTCTTAGAAGGCACAGATTAAAGCAAAAATCTGAATTTGATTTCGAAAATTGGTTTACGGATTTTATGAAGAGAGAACTTTTAGAATTGCAGGAACTAAGTAAAGCAGTAGAGACGACAATTATATTAAACTAAAAAAAATGAAAAAGAATTAATGAAGGAGGAAATATCTTGACAAAACAGCATGCAATTCTAGGAAAATGCATATGGGATTTTAAAGAAACTCTTGAAGGAGACAATGCTTATGAGCTTTCATTAAATTATGTGGTTGAACCAGCAGCTATCCGTTGAATAGAATTCTGACATAATTAATTGTACAATTACATAAAAATGGAGACCACTTGAAATGTGAAAACTAATGGGGAATCATGTTGCTGAAAACAATATACAAAATAACATTATCCAACATAATTTATGAAAGATTAAGATCTTATGTCAAAAAATAGTTGGAAAATACCAATATGGCTTCTACAGGCAAACATTAATAGTAAATCAGATATTTGTAAATAAACCGAGAAATGGAGAATGGTAAAGAATTCTTGACCTAAAAAGGGTTGTACAAATATATATATATATATATATTATATATATATATATATATATATATATATATATATATTATATATATATATATATATATATATATATATACATATATTATTTGTAGTCTCAGCAATTCGTCTGTATGAAATAAAACTCTATTTGTTATTTCTCAATATTTCGTCGTATAAATTTTGAGAACATATCCAATTTAAATAAATGACATTTTTTTTGATTTTAATTTATTTGGGAGTTATGGTAACCGCAATATTTTATAGAGTGAATTCCCATTGTACAATTTTTAGCGAATAAGTTTTAGTTAACAATTACATATTGTGACAGTTATCCATATAATAAGGTGCAAAAGTAGAAGATTGAGGAAATCTTCACAAAAGAAGTCACAAAATGGTGACGAAATATTGAGAAATAACAAATAGAGTTTTATTTCATACAGACGAATTGCTGAGACTACAAATAATATTTAACACAGTACGGTCGAGAATAATTTGATAAATATATATATATATATATATATATATATATATATATATATATATATATATATATATATATACAGAGTTGACCATTCAATAGAGTCCATCCTGATATTTACCAAAATTCATTGAATTTTGTGAAAATGTGTCAGTGGGGTGTAAAATAGGTCAATTTTTATTCCAAAGGGGACACATTTTAACGATATAGATATCTGTCATGTGTCAACCTCCTCCGTTCCAGTACCACAAATCTTTAATTTTAAATAGGGAATATACTATGTGTCGCACATCATTAGACAGGTATTTCGATGGAGAATTCAGGCATTTAGAAACGATTTCAAGCATTTTTCGATATCAGCTTTTGTTCGTGAGGTACAACCCATTGTAAGTTTTAATATTCACACACTGTATATACTACATATAATACTGGCAGATAAATTGGAACAACACAAACATGACCTGTGGCTCTTTTTTTATCTTATTAATTTGTATGCTGTAAATACTGTTATAATCTATATCTCTCTAAAAAAAAAATAACGAACCTATGAACCGACCATGTTTGTCGCAGATCAAAAAATAAGTCTAGTTGGGTAATTTCCGTATTTTATCAGAAGCATATTTACCAAGAACACTAAATAAACCTTTGTTCAAATTGCTGTAATGATTAAAAGATTTATTAAGATATAAAATAAAGATTTATAGTTCTTATGTTTTTTGTGTATTTTCTTCCAATTGTATGTGTAATTTGTTTTGACGTTTTCATAGTATATTTTTTAATTTTAATATTTTCATTTTACTCAACGATTTATATTACTATACGTATTAATCAATATTATGCTAATTTAAGAAAGATAAAGAGCACTAAAAGGTATGCACAAATATACAGACAGAGAGCGTCACGCGACTACCTGTCACAGCAGCCACGCAACTAGGTATGTAATGGTTAATGGGAACGGTACCCAAAAATAAAGAAAAATATGTTTTCTTTACATTTTATGTGAACAATATAGCGTAATGTGGCAAAAAATCGCAGTGAAAATAAAAATTAGGAAATGATAACATACTAAAAAACAGTCCTTTTAAGAGTAGTATATTAAAAGGTACAAACAATAAAAATAAAAAGATAAATGTATTTTAAATATTTAATTGAAACATATTTTGTCTCATAGAGTATATTTAAATCGGTTCACTTTTAGAACAACTTCGGTTTAATTTGGAAATATTTTTTTTTTTTTAGTTTAACATGGTAAAAGATTTATATGAAATATAAATTAAAATTATTAATTTAATCAAAAAAAAATGTAACAGTAATTTTTATTAACAATTTTTTAGATGGCTATTTTTAATTGAATACCACCATAGTAAAAATATAAACCTAAATTATTTACAAATATCTGCACGTCTATTAAGATTATTTCTTAAGATTTCTTTTTGTGGACATGCAAATGTCCACAAAAAGTTTTGTGAATGCAAAATGTTTTGTGAATGCAAATTATATTATCGAATATGCGTAGGTCTTACATTTGCAAATTATTGTAATATCCTTTAGAAAGTATTCTATTATATTTATATAATCCTACTTTCAATTTGCAGACACCAAATTATTTAAATTTATTCGAATCATAACAATTATTATGCGCATAATGATAATTATGTCCATTCTTGATTAAACCGTATCCAGCATACATTTTAACTTTTATTAAGTTCCTAATTGTTTGTTGATTTAAATATATTTGTTTTATTTAAGTAACTTGAGTAAATTACGAACTATTTACAGGAGTAATGATGTTGAAAATAGCAAAAACTATATAATATATACTGTCACATAGTAATCAGAAAGTGAAAAGTATTAGTACAGTGTAGCAAAATAAACAAACAATCAAAATTTCAATATCATGGAAACAACTTACAGGGATAAATAAATTAAAAATGTGGGTTAGGCCAATTAGGTGGTCAATATTCTTGAAGTATCTCGTTCTATGCCCTAATTAACTCCTCCCAAAGTGCTCCCAAAATTTCATCACTAAAGACAACCCCATTCATGGTCCCAAACCAATCTGAAAAAAGGACAAAACTGCGAATTCGACGATAAATTTGTTCGCATTCCAATTGGTCTTACATGTTCTGCAAACTATCGATTTGCAATAGACCTGATCGAGAAGAAAGATTTTTTTAGAGCCATCAACCTTGGGCGACGATCTTGACGTTCTGTTGCTCTTCTGCGCCGCCCGTTACTTCTCGATATTTGTGATCAGCCTTCTTGACGTCATGCCTGATCCCGTACTTCGTACTCTAGGCACTGTAAAAACTTAAAAAAAAAACCAAGAAAAAAATTTTGGTAGGTACTAAACTTAAAAAGAAGTTAAAATTTTTAGTAGATGGCAAATTTAGAAAAAAAATGAATAAACAGAAACCTAAACTGTTTGGCTGAAATTCTAATCACTAATTGCCAAGATGCGCCTGTATACCAAACTTTATTAAAATAAAATAATTTATAATAGACAGTTGGAAAAGTATTTAG